TTAATCTGATATAGCCTTTTCTGGAGATAATATTTAGAAATAAGTTGCTGTTGTTGTTACTTAGTATTTTAAAAACTTTTTATACACTTTGACCAAGAGTGGTAGATGGATTACCGCTCTCAACTCTTCATACTCTGTCATAAAATGATGCATTCACACCCTTTGTCATATAATTTTGCAAGGCATGACACACGATTTGTTTTGGCGATGCCAGCAGAGACTTAAAAGGTGTTTTGGTGGCCTGGCTTGTGCCTTGCCCTCCAGTGATAAACCATGACAGGGCTATGCCCCAGACAGCTGCTGCCCCCTCATGACCGGCCTCAGGACAGACAGACTTAGAGGAGTCTGACCCAACTGAGAGCCTGAGGCAAGCCAGCTAACCCACAGGCTGAAGCAGATGCGCCTGGCCAAGCCAGCGTAGACCAGGACTGACAGACGCAGCGTGAAACTTCAGTGTTGTGATTTAACACAACATGCTTTGCTATGCAGAACTGTTACGGCAACAGCTGACCAATAAACCGAATAATCTCACACCTGAGAATGTATCCTGAGGCAATTAGAACAGATTCACCTGTAAGGGTATTTATCATAACAACATTTATGAATAACAAAAAACTGGAAACAGTCTATCGTCAAATAACAGAGTGAATAGTTATGATCAAACCAGACTATTAAATATTTGAAGCTATTAAAAGTTTCATTCTTAAAGAACACTCAAAAACGTATGAAAATGTTCATAGTATTTTAAGCTTAGAAAATATAAAAAGCAACATGCACCATATAAAAAAATATCTACAAGTACAGAAAAAGATCAGGTAGATAAAATAATTCACTTAAGAAATATAAATGCCTTTCTGTGCTAAATATTATTTTATGCTAAATATTATGCTAAATACTATATTTGGAATAAAGAGGTAAGTATGCTCCCTGACTTCTTGAAACAGTCTAGTGAGGACAATAGGTATTAAAAAATAATAACCATATATATGTAATTACAAATTTTGATAAACTATTGTGGCAAAAACTGCTAATTATCCCCAGTATTTATTTCCCTCTTCCTGCTCAGTACCAGAGTCCCTGAATTTTATCTGCCCATGGCCATCTGGAATAGACTATACTTCCCAGCTTTCCCTGCTCCTAGTTGGAGCCATGTGACCAAGTTCTGACCAATGGGCTCTAACTGGAAGTGAGACATGAAACTTCCAGTAAACATCCTTAAAAATAAAGGGCTTGTTTTCCCCCTTTTTGCCAGATGGAGCGGCTATTTTGGACTATGATGTGGAAGCTTCAAGCTGAGAATGGCAGAGCAACAGAACAGGAGGAGCCTGGGTTCCCTGGCACGGTGGAACCACTATCACCAGCCTTACTACACCCACAGAGCTTTTACACGAGACAGACAAAATTCTACCTTGCTTACGCCATTTTCATTTTGGGTTTTCAATCATTCACAGCTGAACCCTAATCCTAAGTGGCATAGCTATGAAGGAAAAATGAAGGGTTTGATGAGAGATTATAACGGAAACTGTTGGTTTTGACAAGAAGAAAGGGTTTCAGAGATCGGTCCTCTGAGGAAGTAACTTTTAAGCCTCAACCTATCTGATGCCTGGCCAGGAGAGCACCAGGTGAAAGGAGGTGAGGTGGCAAACCCCTCAAGCCAAGTAGTTTCAAAGATGAAAACCTCAACTGCAATAGGAATACGCAACAAACTCTGGGATGCAAGACTGCTTCTACTGTAACAATGAATGAATTAGAATGAAGGCAGAGCACTAAAGCAGCTAAGTGCATTGGCTCCAATATTAGAATCTCCACTATGACAAGTAAAAGACCACATATGTACGTCAAAAATGAAAGGGGAGGGGTGTAGAATGAAAACGAATCCCGTTAAATTAATAGCTGCTTCCACACTTCAGTATTTCTAGTGTTTAAAACAGTTGGATGCTCTGATTAGAGTGGTTCATAGACCATAAGGAGAATGTCATTAGATTTTTAAAGGCTAACTATCCTTGGAAAATATGACTTCAGTGTTAAAAAAAATTTTAATAATATTTCTTGTGTATTTCTGATTTTAAAAAAGAAACATTTATTATGGAGAATGCAGCAAATATATTTAAGAATATAAAGAAAAAATAAACTACCTGTAAATCATCACTTCCCAACCACATTTTATACTGACACTGTTTTTTATACACACTTACATGCCTATATACATGTAGACACACAATACACACAAATGGGATTGTTAATGCCCATGAAGTTGCACGTGTTTTTTCACTATTTATCATAAGTGCATCCCTGTAGCATTAAAATATTTCTGAAACCATGATTTTAACTATATTACATAAAATTTATTTAGCCAATCAAGTCTGGGCTAAAACTGACTTTAAACTGTCAACCACAAATTAAAGTCCTGTGGGTCAAGAAGATGACTCCAAAACTGCCATGGGGAGTTTCTATTCAGAAATCTCAAATCACAATTTGAAAGCACTGGTACCATCTAACCAAGAATTCACTTAAATTCATTGAATTTTAGCCATGAAGAGTGCTTAATAAAGACTATATTTTCCCAAATGGAGTGCATTATTTTGTAATTGGTCTTGAGAAAGAAAGAAAAGAAGTACGAAAGATTGAGGTAGCAATAACAAATAAGAACTAATAAGTGCCTATTGTATGAATTAGTGACTATCTGCAATGTTTTATTTTTTTAATAAAGCAAAATAAGAGAACATATGCATTTATTACTTCTATAATTAAATTTTCAAGTGGGTTTAAAAAATGAATATGGAAAAATGCATATAGAAAAAGAATGGAAACAAATATGACAAAGGGTTAATAACTGTTAATTTTGGAATATGACATTCTTTGAACTTTTGTTTTTAAATTTCACAACCAATAAATTAATATTAAATTAAAATATTAAGTCATGTGAGTGAGGTAATTCAGATTTCAGTTATTAAAGTGGAAGGAATATCAGTAAGTTTTGCCAGAGGCTAAGTGTATCTTCTGAGAAGGAAAAACAAAAAGCTGAGTACATAGCATTAAGAGTTTGCTCTAAAATAAAACTATTTTAAATGAAATATCGTAAGTCTGAGGAAAGAACAGGTTTTGAACTTCAGAGCTGTGCTTCCTTCAAGTACTATCCTACCTAAAAAATGATAGAGTTTCTGTACTATCAAAAATGTTGTTCCAATAGTTAAGCAAGTATTTTAGAAACTGCAAGATTGCATTTTAATGTCTTACACTGGTTTTCTTTACTTTGTAAATCCAAGGTTTTCCTGATGCTACATCCATTTTTAAAATTCTAGTTTCTAATACCAAAACTTAGTTCAGAAGACAGAGGTTGCCACTTGATGAAACATCTTACTAAACATAAATGGTTGCAATGTTCTATTAAGGGAGATCTCTAGCAGAAAAAAAATTATAAGAAGTCACAGAAATAAGCCAAATCCTTACCTCAGTTCTCGAAATGATTTCAAATAAATGTAAATTTTTTACAATCATCCCATTTTCCCCAAATGTAGCCTTAGGTTGTCTTAACTTTGTGACAGCATTCCCCATCCCCTACTCCACTAATCAGTTCTCACCTTCTTTCCCTGATAGAACACTTGAGTTTTTCAGCAAAAATGACTCATTCATTGGCATCTTGTCAAAAAAAAAAAAAAAAAAACCTGAAACTTTAAGAAGGCTCAGCGCTAAAAGAATTCTAAAACTACAACATTTCACTAACACACATCATTTTGACTTCAGAGAACTGAATCACTTTCAGAGTCAAATGTATCTAATGAACTCTGTTTATATTTTTCCTTACAAATTGTTCTCCACCATGCTACATACTCAAAATTTTAGTTTGGCAACTCCCTAATCTAAAATACCTCTTGTCTCTGAAGAAGACAAGACAGAAGAATGTAGAAGCATTAGAATAAGAGGTGGGGGAAGCAACTGTTCACTCAGCTTGGAAAAAAAGATTCTATTCTGAAACATTAATGACTCACATTTATTCCACACAGTTCTCAAAATGTATTTCTCCCATTAGTTAAATGAAAACACAATACAATACATAATACAAATGCAATCAGAAATCTCCAGGAATAAATTACTCTCACTGCTATTATTTCACTAAATAAAAGTTTAAAAAACATAACACAAAAATCAATTATTGAGAACTATGTAACTAAAAATCTTCAATAAGCATGAACTATCAACTGCAAGTCACCTTATCGTTTTGGTTCACACATTCACCTACTCCAAAACCGTGCCTTTTAACCAGAGGGAAAATGGTGTGGAAGGAAGAAGAAAACAAATGCTTTGTCAGATTACCACAGACATTTACTTATGGCTCTATCAATTGTCACACTCCACCTGCTGGCAGGAGCTGCGTGAATTGGTGAAGTGGAGGTCATTATCCAAGAAATTCCAAAGAACACTTTCTAGATGTACTTGGGGAAGAAAGCAAGATGTTCTTTTTTTTTGTCCTACACAGAAATATCTAACAAGGCTCCACAAAAGTTTTTTTTCACATAATAGTAGGTCAGTATCTAATAAAGATTAACATAAAGGAATGACAATAATCAGAATGGGAGACCTACATTTATAGCAATCTACTTAAACCATTCTCTCCACGGTAAGTTAAATGTCATCTCAAGCCTTTAATACAGGTAACAAGGCACATCCAGCAACTTTAAGATTCTCTGTCACACACTGTAACATTCTTTGCCCCCATCTTCTATGGGTAAACTATGGAGTTTAATTAACACAGTCAACAGCAGCCTGCCACACGGCTGTTAGATATTTGTCACTAACATATACTCATGGGATACTCTAGAGACTGATTTCAACTGAAAATAAAAATAGATAAACAGAGCTCAAAAAAAATTAAAACTGAGTCTGGCTGCCCACACTTATTTTCACACATGAGGAAAAATAGCAGTTCTCCTAGAAGCCTCGAGCAGACATATCTTTAGAACACAATGTTAAAAATATGCCCCCCCTCCTTTTTCCCCTACCTGTTTCTCACTCAAAGCTGTGATTTTGGCTTGGAGTTCATGAAGCTGTTTCTTTAAATCAGCATTCTGATTGGAAAGAAAAAATATCTGTGAGGAAGATATTTCATTTGTTAACAGGATAGTAGCAAGAGGACTTTATGCACACTGCATTACAAATGATGAAGAAGCCTTAAAGCATTTAGCCCATCGCACTGTCATGCATTAAACTGTAGTCATGTTACCACCACCTAGTGCACAGATCCCAGTGTAGGCTGTTAACACAAGGACACGGGTAAACTCCTTTGTGATTATTTCAAATTAAAAGATATTTTACATTTTAGCATTTTGTAGTGTAATAGTACTCTTTTCTACTAAAATAGCTATTCTTCATAAATAACAGCTGACAGAAACCCTAAAGTTCCACTCATCAGACAAAAGCAAAAAAATGGAATTTATAAGGATGAACAAACTGGATGCTTAATAGCATTATCAATAAAAGAAGTTTTACTCTGCTTGCCCTCTCCCTTATTTAGTAGAGTACATTGTTACTTTAGCCTAGATTTGAAAAGCTGTCAGTGCTGCAACTGCCTGAACGCTACATCGTTCAAATTAACATACTGACTACCAGGGCAACTTCTCAGTTCTAAAATGTTAGGAATCAAAAAAGAATACTATTTTAAATGAGATACACTGAGCATGCTTGCCTTTTACTCACGTGGGAGAAAAATCCAAAATTAAAGTTTTCAAAAGCTAATGTAACAAGATAGCCTACTTACTAGCAGACTGAATACCACCCCAATGAGAGACTACTTTTCCTTTTTTGTTTCTCATGCAATTCTCTCAATTCACTCTGCCTGATCTTCTGACAGGGTCACTGCATACACTCTTCCTTCATGTTTACTCCATGAGGCCTTTTTTGTGACGGTGTGTGATATAAGGTCTCTCTAATGAGATCACTCACAAGACTGTCCAGCAACTTACTGCCAGCTCAGATTCCCTACATTAAGATTGCTCTGTTATATAACTGCCAGCTATGTCAGAAATGCTACAGTTTTCTAATAATATTTCAGTTGCTGGTAACATAGGTTACCATATTAAATATAAAAAAATCTATTCATTGATCTACTACTACTTGGTTCCCTAAACCTAATTTAAACTATAGTGTATTTTAAAAAATTAAAATGGAGAAACTTCTCAAAGAAGTTGGACTGTCAAATAGGAGTTAAGTGGCCATCAATGCCAGCTCAGAATCAATGGATTGTGTTAAAAATAAAATAGTTAAGCTACTAAGGGCTAAATTTGTAAAAAATGAATACTATGTCCCACTTGCAAAAATCAATCTGCCTCAGCACCATTCTTTAATCCAAGAATCTATTTGACTTAACTTTACAATGAGGCATGTATGATGTGTTTAACAAGATAAAAAAAAAAAAAATTGTGTGGGTCTAGGTGTTCTGTGAACAGATTACGAGTAAACAAATGCAAGGGAGAAATCTTGAGAATGTCTGATACTTTGACCCCATACTTATGGCCCACTATCTAATTGGTGCAAAAGAGACATTGCCTGAACAATAAATATATTAACAGTAATTAAAGACAAGGTAAGTTTTTGGGAAGATTTCTCTTCAGGGATACAGAATAAAATACCTGAGCCAAAAACTCCTATGAGACATTAAAGAAAAGGTAATACTTGATGGATTACTATATTAACATAAGGTTCTTTAAAACCTTCCTTAAGGGCTCTTTTCAAAAAGAATTTTTTAATGCTTTTTAAAAATTATTCTAAAATTCTACTCTAAACAGTGAGATTAAGCGTTTAAATGTTCTAAACTATAAACAACTAAAAAATGGTTCTGGGCTATGTTCAATAATTTTGAGAAAGCCTCACAAACTCTGATTTCAAGTAAGCAGGCTTGTGGAAACGAAATTTAAGCTAAGTATTTAATATACATATTAACTCTCAATTTTTCCCCAAAATATTCAAAGCAATTAACTTAAAAGCAAAATAACAGTAATAAAGATGAAATAATAGGTGTATTATAAAAGAATGACTGGATTTTTCTTAATTCTTAAAACATGACAGCAAACGTGCCCAAAAAAAAACTGCTATAGAGATGAAATAGTTTTTAAAACCTAAGTAACATCTATATTTTAGTATTTTACAGTAACTTTATCTTAAATTATTTTAAAAATTAAATGAAAAAAAGGAGTATTTTACCTGTGGATCCTGCTTCATTTGAGCAACCAGTTTCTGATAATAAAAAGAGAAAAAGAGCCATCAGTCTTACATATTAACTCACTATTACTAAGTAGGCTTGGCCCCCAAAATCTAAAGTTTTAAGTCCACACACACATACATATACACACAAAACAAGCAATACCATCATCAGAACAGACCAAAAGCTTCTGTGATCCATGTAAAAGATTAATGAAACACTCTCTTAATTAAAAAAAAAAAACCTGAAGTATTGCTTTATATTTGAAATAAAGAGCTTCCTGCTTTTAAACATATCTGGAGATGGGATGGGGAAAGGAGCTTTTAAAAGACAATTTAAACTAACTGAATGCTTCAAAAGTAAAATATCCCTTGAAAATGTTGGCATTTTGTCTAGAGTCCCAAATAAGGCCTGGGAAGAAGCTGCTCTCATATAAAAACAGACCTGTTTGTATACAGCAAACAGACTTGGCAAGTCAGCTAGTTGGTTTGGTTCACAGAAGGGGCCTAGTGTCAGATGTGACTCTGCCACTGTCCTCTCTGTGGGGGAGGGGATGTCCCCAGTGGAGCAATGATGCTAGTATTTGAGAATAAGGAAGTGAAGAACAGTAATGCAAAATTCGACCTACCTGGGGTTCCTGGGTGAAGAGAGTTCTACCAGAATACTGAATGGAAAGACCTTATTAACTAAGGAAAACATAAGTCCAAAAACTGAAAAAGGAAAATGGATGTCAACTGACCTACCCATCTTCTAAAAGCATCACTGCCCAAAGGTAACAATAACCAGGGAGAGAAATTGAAGAATAAAGAAAGAGAAGAATAAAGAATAAAGAAACTGAAGCATAAAGGAGTATCAGAAGACTGATTCCTGAAAGTATCTGGAAATAAGCTGTTCTCTAAGTGATTTTTTCCTATAACTGAAAAATCTATGCCTCTCTTTGGGTGACAAGACACTTTTAAAGTTTTTAAGTCATAAAATAAAAACTTTCTAAAATATATACTTATCCGCCTTATTAAGTAAAATCAAAGTCAGCTTTTAATGATATTTAATGATAGAGGCATGATTACATCAATATACTATTCTGCAAACAATACAATAAGGTCCTTAAATAAAGACCCCAAATTGTTATGTTCTAAAGAGTTCTTTCCGTTTTTTCATCTACTCCATAGGGTCAAGCAGGCAGCTACCAAACACTGCTACTATCACTATGCCTCCCTCTAAGAGCCCCTGAGCCATAATTCAAATTTGCTACTTCTGATCTGCTTTGTGATATGCTCAATGAACTAATTCTAAGATGAGCAAATATCCTAAGAAATCCCCCTTGAGTAAAAGGTATAATCTTTGGTGAGTGACTTTTGACATTTCTTCTAGCTTGTCAAAAGCCTTACATGAGGTGCTAAGACACAGTCTGGATAGCTGAGATTGCCAACCATGTGACCTCCAAATACACAAGGTATATTTTACTATACTCTACTTCATATACGACAGTAGTAACTCTTCTATATCCTGGTCTTAATCTACAAAATAGTAACAACATACATTCCAAGAGTTCAAGGATATAAAAACACAAAGTTTTCTACATATGCATTTTTACTAATGCAGCTTAAAGGCGAGTCACATTCTTCAGTGAAAAAAGCCCTTGGTCTTCCTTTCTGATTTGGTACCAGAGACTGGAGTACTGTAATAAAGTTGCCTTTTTAAAGTTGCGAAAAGTTTTCCTCCATGACACTGGGATTTAAAAACTGACTACCAAACTCAGTCTCCACCTCTGGAGGAAATAAATAAGTCAACTTTTCTACCTACAATCACCCAAGCTGCTGTTTAGACCATTACAGGCAGGACAGAAAAGCTGGGCAATTCAACCATTGAAATCCCCAATGACTTTAAGGTGACACTGTGTGTTATCAAAATTGTTACTTTCTATTTCAAGAATGCAGCAGTTTTTCATGAGGATATAGTTTATGCCAAAGGTTGGCAAACTACAACCCATAGGCAAATCTGGTTTACCACCTGCTCCTATAAAGTTTTACTGGGACACAGCCACACCCCTTCACTTACATACTGTCTATGACTGCTTTGTCCATACAGCAGCAGAGGAAAGCACTTGTGACAGACCATAAACTATTCCCAAAGCGTAAAATACTTTACCATCTGGCCCTTTGCAGTAAGTTTGCTAATCTCTGCTTTATACTATTCTCTGTTACATGTAGAGTAAATACTCCAAAAGTTTAAATATGACTTGCATCAAATCCACATAGGAATATTCAAAACGGCAATTTCTCAAAGAAAGATGAGATGTCCATCACAGGCCATTACTCTTTAAACATTCATTCAACATCAACCATCTGCATGTCGCTACTTTTTCAATCATTTCCCTGTTCAACAAGAACAAAAGTATACTTCTACCACAGCAATACTAGGTAGTTTCATTAACACACTTCCTATCCAGTAAGCTCATTTTCAGCCCCAGTTTCATTCCCTAAATGGAAATGATGAAGGGGTGGCTTCTGCCCCAATATTTAGTCAAATGTACAATCTGGCTTTGGCCTCAGCCTAATAGCCAGTGCCTACTTTGATGTCATTTCTGGCATCCCTGAATTTCTCATGATCATGTAGGTTACCATGGACCCAATCAGATAACAACATCAGATTTACATCACGGCATGTCATTTGTATTTCCTGTTAATACTTATTTTTTAGGGGACGCTGTACGTCGCAGCATGTGGAATCTTAGTTTCCAGACCAGGGATCCAACCCATGTCCCCTGCATTGGAATGCAGAATCTTAACCACTGAACTGCCAGGAAAGTCCCTACTGTCAGTACTTAAATTTTTTTCCAATAGGAAAGGATTCCAAAATTAACTGGAATGACTATCTTACATTCTATACAGGTTAAAATACAATCAACCAAAGTTGATAAACATAAATAAGTGTTTATTACCATATAAAGTGCTGTATAACAGTTAAAGATGAATATAAAAGCTATTAATTTTATGCTAAAAACAGTTAAATACACAGGAAAATAATTAATGTGAATATTAAGTGATAACTTCAGGAGAGTATTTTATTCCTTTTGAGTCATGTAATTTTAAAATTTAAATTATATTTTAAAACAATACACATCCAATTTTATAAAATTGGTATGCTTGAATTAAAAATATGAAACTAAATAATATTTAAGAACTCTATTTAAACTTTGTGATTCAGTTCAATTATATCATGAACTTTTCAAATAAAGTCATATTTGGACTTGTTCATGTCTTGTGAGGATGAACCAAAAGCTGGATGTTAACTATGCCATCCCAAAATTTCTTGAGAGGAGGAATATGTCCAAAAATCACATGTGAATAACTTTGGTATACATGATAGTCAACCGAAACATGTCTTATTTTTTAAAATATGCAAGCAAACACAGGGAATTATATTCAGTATTCTGTGATAAACCATAGTGGAAGAGAATATGAAAAAGAATGTATACATGTATAGCTGAATTGTTTTGCTATACAGCAGAAATTAACATAATACTGTAAACCAACTATACTTCAATAAAATAAATTTTGAAAAATAAAAAATAAATAAAATACGCAAGTTAAAGTCACATGAACAAAGTCCCTCAGATTAACCAAAAAACAGGAGAAAGGGTTTTTTTTTTTTTTTAACACACTCAGTATATGGAAAAAATATTTTTAGTTCTTTTGCCTGGAAGAGAAGTCAGGGTTCTTAAAATTCTCAAAAATATTACCAATGAGTTTGTTGAGTAGTGTTAGAAGGCAAATAACATGGTTCTTGAACAACTGACTGAAAAAATGATTAAAAACTGTGCTGAAAATCAGAGACAGCCAGGTAGTTTATTAATTTAGCCATTACCTAATAACATGATGTGGGAGAAGCCGTGAATGAAACATACCTGGTGAACCTGAATTTCCACTTTCAGAGCCTCCTGTAGAGTCTGCAACTCCATCCTCTACCTTCTCCACTTTTTCTCTGTCTGCTATCTACAGTTTCTTCCGCCTTTGTTTAAAATTACAAACTCCTCTTCTCACTGCAGCTGTAGAGATCATAAAATGTTTGGGATCATTATGTTGGTTATAAAGGAAACATACATGTTAGATAAAATAAATTACATTAGGCAAAAAATTAGCCAACTAAACACAGGGCAAAAACTTTCCCCAGACAGATTTCTTTCCAAAATGAGATTTGTACTGAATTGGTACCAAAACTTTCTGAGTATTCTCTGAGCACTCCTCTACAAAACACTTCAAATAAGTAAGAAATGAAAAAAAAAAAAAAAGTGTTTAATCTGGTCAAGAAAACATCCAAGCACTTACTACGTGCTCAGCACGTACTACTACTACATCCAAGCACATACTACTTTCTGAGGACACAGAGCTGAACAAGACCACTTCTGTCCTAGATGGGTCGGGAGACAAGAGGAGGAGGACAGCCACCCAGGACACACTGTTCTTGGAAAGAGACACACAACAGCATGGTCATACATTTTTAACTATCACACAGAGTGAACTAGAGAGCTCAGGATCTCTCGGAAGTTAAAGAAGGCCAGAGTACTCTCACTTGGATGGACTTCCACAGTATTTAAAAAAATAAAGAAACTCAAAATAGGGGAAATTCTGGTATAAAGGTTTACATATAACAAATTAATGCTTAACCACATTACAATGGAGCTCGGCTTTCCACAAAGTTATGACAGAGATGTTAAAAAATAAAACTATCGTGCACAACAGATGAGGTGGGTCTACAACAACAGAACAGACTCTTCACCTTTACAACACCATCTTCTTTTCAAGCCTGCTGGTGCACCGCTGGGGCTACATGTGTAACTACGCATGGGGACAGTGTCAGAAGTCTAGATTTGTGAATGTGAACCTTGTGCTCTGCTCATCACTACTGCAACTCAAATTAACTCCATAGCTGACTTTTCTTTCTTTTCTTTTTTCTTGAAAGTGGCCTTAGACATGATTTCAGGTGCTCTCCTCAAAGTAAAAGCTTAACTGAATAAAGGTATATATAAAACTTGTAGTTAGAGCAGCTTTTCAGCATTTTTACAAACTGAGGAAGAGGACAATCAAGAAGTTAGAGTAACTGCTACTCCTTATGCTAATTCAATGAGACTCATAATCTTTAAACCTTCTAAAAACTGTTTATCTAGGATAAAATTCATAGTTAACTTGAAAGAGTTAGTCGCTCAGTCCTGTCAACTCTCGAACTCTACGGACTATAGCCCGCCAGGCTCCTCTGTCCATGGGGTTCTCCAGGCAAGAAAACTGGAGTGGACAGCCATGCCCTTCTTCAGGGGATCGTCGCAACCCAGGGTTCAAACCTGGGTCTCCTGCATTGTAGGCAGATTCTTTACCACCTGAGCCACCAGGGAAGCCCCATAGTCAGCCTAAGTTTTTTTAAAACTTCTTTAAAACCTGATTTAACAGAGTTATAGTGAAGTCATTAATTTCAGGCTGTATTCGTGTGAATATTAATCTTCATTATATTTGTTTAATCTTACTAGGCTTAAAACATCACTGGCAATCTCTCCCCTCGGGCTTACATACTATGTTATGTAATATCAAAATACTCTAAGCTTTTTTTAAGAAAATACACTTGCAAAGTGTAAAATTCCTTCAAACTTACATTTGTGGAGGCTAGGAAATGATATTATTATACAATGATATTGCCCACCAAAAATTTTCATAAAGGGAGTATGTTTAGGGGAGATAATTTGGAAAAGGTGATATTGATGAACAAACCCAGGTTTTCCAGATATTTATTAAATCTTTAAAAATCGTTGAAACTACATAAATATCAGAATCATTAAGTTATTGGTTTTAGAACAAGGTTTTTATTGTCATGTAGGTTTACATACTAAAACAAATGTTAAAACTATACACTCACTGTAATTTTAAATGTTAAAATAATCTCCCTACTCAAATTCCTGATTTATGTATTAGAGGTCTTCCTGAAAAGAGTACTTAGTTTTAAGGCTATCAGAAAACATGTCTAAAAATGATTCCCTACCATTTTCGTTAAATTAAAATCACCTTGAAGGGTATTTTCAAAGACAGAAAAGCCACACTTTATTTTATTAGTAGTTACATATAACATCATAGTTCAACTCAACTCATAAGCTCTAGAAATAAACAGGAACTTAAAGACATGAAAAATTCACAATATACACTAACAAAGGGTTAACCTAATTTGTACGGTTACAGAGTGCTTACAAATTAATTACAAATTAATTTTTCAAAAACTATGAAAAAGCAATTCACAGAAGAAGAAATAAGAATGATCAACATGAAAAAAAAATCTATCTTCAAGAGACTCATGGAAATGTAAATTTAAGAAGACACATTTTTGTCAATCAAACTGACAAAGACCTGTAAAAATTAATAATACTCTGATCTGTCTAGAGTTTGCATCAGGTGGCACTTTTATAATTTGCTATTAGTTATATCTGAGTGGTAGCACTGAGGGTTATTTACTTTCTTTTCAGAGTATCAGTATTTCCAAAATTTTCCATGGAAAATATGTACTTATTTTTATATAACAAAAAATTAACAGAATTGCTAGATAAAACATCAGAAAAATTTAAACTGATGAAACAAAACGTTCAGGAACAGAGTAAGTAAAGCCAGGGTTTAACCTGGAGGCTCTAAATGTCAAAAAGTGCCTCACAGGATGAGAAGCCTGCAACTCAAGTTAATGAGGAGCTGACAGCTTTTACTTCCTTCATCAGATTGTTGTCTGCTTATTAGAGACACACAAAGGCACGAAATTTTATTTGGCTAGGACTCTAAAGGCCAATTACTCATTTTATTTCAAGATAAAACTGAAGGGTTAAAAAAGGTAGTGACATTATAGAAAAATATGTGAAGGATTAGAAGATTCATATAATATCTTTTTCACAGAAGCCTCTTTCTGAATAGCATTTTTAAGAGACTGATCTCTGCCTAAAGGAACAGGTTATATACATATATATTCATATCCTACAAAAAACAATGCAAGCACATGTTGAGTCCTTTTAAAAAATACTTTTGGGGCTTACACAATGCATGCAGCCATCATGTGATGACCATTTGGGGGCAGTTTATAGTATTATAAAGTAATATAGGAGGTAATATAAAGTATTATAAAGAAGGCAAAATTTATAAAAAGATGGTTTATCATATTTTGACCAATTCTAATAAATTATAAATAACAAATCTGCTGCTACAAGGTAAATAGGAAGAGACTTACAAAACAATTTACTGAGGTACAAAGCCTTTTGCCACCCATCGCTTCTAAGTACTACCACCAGAGAAGGCAAGTGCTTAGCACAAAATACCAACATTCACTATATTCAAGACAGTATGTGTCAAACCACTGGGATACCTAATGGCCTCCCACCTTCAAATAACAAAAAACATAAATAAAAACTCCACAAACCAAACGAACAAGCAAATAAAATAACCAAATCTCACACACAAAAAAGGGCAAATGTAGTGTCTGAAAGGAACATTCACTGTCTCAAAAAAAAAAAAAAAAAAAAACCTGATTCCACTTGTGTAACTACTCTCAGCTTTAGGTTTGTTTGCTTATAAATCAGAAAAAGGGGAACAGAATCATCTGTTTCACAAAACTATTATGAGGTTTAAATTAGGTGAAGTTACATGAAAAGCCATTTGTAAACTGTAAAATTATATGCTTTTCTTAACATACTTAACTCTTACTCATACACACAAACTTTTATATAAACTTCTCAACACAGTGTATTTCTGAAAAGAGTGTGAGCTTTCTTATTTCCAACTTGTCTAAGAAAGGGATTCTAACCATTTTCCTGGTTACAGTTCTGCTTGGAGATGTATAACTGCTATATGTTTCATAATGATTCTAATAATGCAGTAATACTACAACTCTGAATTTATTACCAAAATTACTGCTCTGTTCTTGAATTGATATAAATCTTTTCCCAATCAAAACTCTTTGCATCAACCAAGTTTACTTAACTACAATAAGTCTGTAATACATTGTGCCCCCAGACTGAATTCCTTAAAAATGAACAGCTCAGGGTTCTCTATACCATGTACCTACTTGATGTTAGACTCCACTTTTGATCTACACTCTCAAAATAGTGTTTCAAGTAGGTTTAATTAATTTTTTAAAATATGAAAAAGTATAGTCTTGTAGATCTATGTATCCTTACTTGTCACATGCCTATTACTAAAATACTAAAATTAAATTACTACAATACTGAAATAGCACCTCTGTCCACGGAATTCCCCAGGCAAGAATACTGGAGTGGGCAGCCATTCCCTTCTCCAGGGGATCTTCGCAACTCAGGGATAGAAACTGGATCTCCCACATTGCAGGCAGATTCTTTACCACCTGAGCCACCAGGAAAGCATTTTGTTTCAATTTGTACTGAATACTTATTGATTACTATGTATCTAATATGCTAGGAGATAAAACATATCTTTAACTTTTAACTAACAGTGCTAAAAATGATCACAAATGTGAAAAATTTAATAAGTTATGAAAACTAACATTTACTAACATGAATCAATAAGATGACATTAAAATATATATATAATGTTTGTTTTCTTGTTTTCATGGTGGTATTTCTCTGATGACACTCCACAGGTCAACAGGAAATGCTACTGCACAAACAACTTGATGTTGGAGGCTACACTTTGAATCTGGCAAGGTTACTATGCTCAAGTACTGGTATTACAGGTGTTGACAAACCTGAGCTAGTAAGACTGATGCTTCTTAACCACTAAGTTTATACACACACACACACACACACACACACAAACACACAATTCAATTAATGGTATCTGAAAGTATGAATGCCTTTGAGTATAAAATATGTATCTTTCCTTTGGCTTTTTGGGTGGAAGGGGGCCAGATCCTTGTTAAAAAGGAAAAAAAAAAACAAAAACCAAGGAATACCTGCACAAGTCACACCATTCCAGCACAAGGAGGTGGTATTTTTGGTCAAGTCAGGGTTTCCCCACAGCCCCGTCTTCTGCACAGGTCTGCTGCAGTGAGTGTCCTGTCCCACTCCCTACCACCAGTGTTCATTCTAAGATATAGTGTCTACCTCAGCTTCCTGGCTCCAGGCCTGGCAGACACACATACACTCTTCTATTTGCTACTTTTCTTTACAGAAATGAAGCATGTCTACTAAACTCTTCCCAACTATACCCAACAACAAGAACCTTGAAGCAAATTCAAAATGCACAGAAATTCAAAATGAAGGAGACTGAAGAGTCATATATGAGCATAGTGACAATGAGGTCAAGATTTTAGAAATGGTTGCCATATTTACCAGAATGCTTTTTAATGATAAATATTTTACTACACAAAGGAGAACATAAGTGAGGACGGTGGTCTTGGTATAACAAGTACTTAACAGAAGTGGAAGTTATGGGAGAGAGATTTCAGATCGATTTAAGGAAGAGCTAAGGATTAGAGCTGTACAAAAAAGGAATGGGTTACCTTATGAGGTAGTGGGCTCCCTGTCAATAGAAGTATTCAAGAATGCTGCATATCATATCCCCCTCTTGGAGATTCACAATGCACATTAGCATATTAAAGGTTCTGAGAAGTCCTGCAGTAAAGAAACCTGTTTAACTTTGTTTAAAGCAGCATTTTCCAAATTATTTGACCACAGAACATTTTCCCCACCCCCACCCCACTTCAATAATATTTATTAATTTCTGTGGAAATTACAGTTCCTCAGAACACATTACAGAAAATATGAGCTACATTTTTTAAAATGTAGAATTCAATACATCAGGGATATATCTGAATAACAGTATGTCAGGGATATAAGAGAAGAAATTGCCACACCTGGTAAAAGGTTCAAAGAGAAGGCCCTTAACATTCCTTCTTCTTTAAGAAATTTATGATTCCACTGCATCTCAAACTAAAGGGCTATGGGGTCTTGATTATTTATTTTTAATGGTTCTATGACAGAAAGGCAAGTAGGATAAAAAGGTAGTATAATGTAAGATTAACTGGTTCAAATGTCTCCGTTTCATGTTCAAAGTTCATCACCTAAGAGATACCTCAATGACCATTAAGGTATGAAAGAAGCCTCAACTAAATATCTACTCCACCCACTAAACGAATTACCATTTGAGAGAGAGAATTTTTTTTAAAAAAGTACCTTGCAATAAGGGACTACCCTACTCCAGTTATCTTGTTTGAATTTAATTTTTTATCATAATGCATACTCTTGAAATAAGGTTAATATTTGTTTGGTCTTCAGACACTGGAATGCCCTGTGTAACCTGAATTATACACTCAAATAAATGATTAAGTGTGATGATTTATAAGCTGTTAAAGCAGACATTAAAACTGATACTAGGGAAAAAACATGTTTGCCTATATGACCCACACTGCTACATTTCTCTCATTTTAAAAACATTTTCCTCTTCAAGAATTATACAAAACATACACTGAAAATGCAGTATCAGACATGAGGCCAATCCAACATTAAATTTAATAACATAAATGCTAAGAGGCCCCAAATTTCAAAGTTAAGGTTCCCATAGTTACATTAATTTAGCCTTTTTTGCACATATACTAAGACCATCAAATTAAACAGCATATTAAGTAATACAAGACACAATGGGAACCTTAACTTTTGAATTTCCTGGCTTTTGAATTTTCAGCCCTAACCACTGCATTAAGGACATTTTTCGCAAAGGAGACCTTTACATTTTAAGAGGTTATCGAATGTAGGAACATGCAAGCCTAGCAGTATTATTAGAAACACAAATGCATTTGAGATATGGTTATGTGAAATTAGACAAAAATTCACTTTCATTCAGTACAAACAGCGAAGCCTTTCTCATTTCTGGGAGACAGCGTTTTTGCAGAAAAAAGAAAAAAAATCACTGAATATTTGAATTATCATCCAACCAGCATCAGGCACAGTGTGCCTGCTTGAAAAAAGTACTTACCAATTCTGGGGAAACTGGCTCTCCTTCAGTTTTCTTGCTCCCTATGAGAGAAGAAGGGAAAATGGAATTAGACTGCAAACACAGACTTATGACAAGTTATCAAACGTTGATAACTTAAAGATTTCTATCTCATTTTAATGAGGAAAAAACCAAAACACACAAGAATCTCCAAAGCAAGGAGAGAGACAGGTAGTTTCGTTTTTACGAGAAGAATTCAAGGGCAATCAGATATCTAATTTTCCAGTTTTTTTTTTTTCTCACTTTTCCACAGCCTTTTCAAGACAAGAAAAAGTAGTTCCCTTTCCTAAGAGACACAGAAATGCAGAAATACACCCACATCCCCAACAAATGACCTTCACTGTTTGCTTTTTTTTTTTTTACAAATTAGGCTAACATCATTGGCCCTTAGGTTGATCTACTTTTTTTCAATTAATCTTGAAATGGACCTATCTTATATAAGGCTTTAAAATTCAAGCATCTTATATGTAGTCATAATTTCAATTAAACTTTTCATTCACATTCTTAAAGTCCTACCAGTTTAAACTGCGAACCACATAACACTAAAGTGACTTTCCCTATGCCATATCAGTGACAGAGCCAGGGGAAAAAAAAAAAAAAATCAAGGTTTTGGGATCCCAATCTATGCTCAGTGATGTTTTTATCAATTGTGGTTTTTTAAGATTATCTAAACTCCATTAAGTTGATTTCAAAGTCAGAAAACTCACGTCAAGCTATATTGTTTATTTTTAACTTGTCCTTGCCCCAAACTGTTCTAGTTAAAAAAATTAGTGAACAAAAAATAAAACTTTTTCCTTAATATTTTAGTATTAAATTATTTAACTTCAACATACCATGCTCTAAATCTATATCACTCTATGCCTTAAACATAGTACATTTGTCCACTGATGTCACTCCAATAATGTGATGTAAATTCTCATTTGTTTAAGGGATATTTTAAAAAATCTTCATCCAAATCACAAATTTTTATTTAATCATGCACAGTCATACCAAATATATAATAAAATAATTTTAAAGGGCCTCAATTCATGCAGTTAACATTCATTTCTGAAAGAAATTCAATTTGCTGGTTTATCCTGCCTTTCTTTTAGCAACAGCACTTTTTTAGAGTTCTAAAGTCCATATAAATGGCAATTTTAATCACCACAATTAGAATGATTACCAACCAAAAGAAAAATCTATAAAATGGCCTGTAGAATGATGTGGTTATTAAAAAGCAGATTCTTGGGAATTCCCCGGTGGTTCAGTGGTCAGGACTCTGTGCTTCCACTGCAAGGATCACGGGTTCAGTCTCTGCTTCGAGAACGGAGATCTCACATGCCACAAGGCCCGGCCTCCCCCACCAAAAAAGCGGATTCTCACTAGGGAAAAAAATACCCAACGATATGTGATGATGGTGATCACCACTTACTGTGGTAATCATTTCACAATACACACCCATATCAAGCCATTATGTTGTGCACCTAGAACTAATATGATGCTCTATATCAATTTTAAAAAGTGGATTCTTAACAGTACAGATACCTATAGGATTCTGTACCACTCAAAGACAGTACCAGGCAAATAGTAAAGGCTCCTTAGAGAGAACTCCCTAGAGGTCCACTGGTCATGACTGGGCACTTTCACTGCTGTGCCCAGGTTCAATTCCTGGTTGGAGAGCTAAGATTCCACAAGCCAAGTTGTGTGACCAAAAACAAAGTAAATGGTCAGTAGATATTTGTTAAATGAATGAATTGACTGAGTGGACCCTTAACTCTCAGTTGCAGGCTTATTTACCCTACTAGGCATCTCTTGTTAGCTCTTTCATGCTGGGGATAATCTCTTATGCATCAATCTCCCACAGAATTATTTGTTAAATGAGTGACTCTGGATAAAAACAGCTGATTAGGAAATAAAAAATTGCCATTTTAAAATATAATGAAAAGGAAAAGATAGATAAATTGGATCAAATTAAAATTAGGAACCTCTGTTCATCAAAAAAAAAAAACACCCCACCATTAAGAGAATGAAAAAGCAATCCACAGAACTGGAGAATTATAACTGCAATACATAACAATAGCTTATACTCAGAATGTATAAAATACGTTGAGACTCAAAGTGGTCAGGATGGGATTGGGATTTCAACTTTTACACAAATGGCATTTGAGAAGGTATAGTCAAATAAACTCTTTTGAAAATCATATTCAGTAAAAAAGGCAATGGATGCACCTTATCTCTGGGGCATTTTCTCCAAAAAATAAATAGCAGAGTCAATCTCTAATTGATAAGGAATTGTACCATGATATCACAAAACTACTCATAACACTGCTTGCACGGACTGCAGAAAACACAGTGGAAATCAAAGTCTGAGAGGTTAAGTGACTTCCCTGAAGGTCACATAGCTAGTTGGTATCAAGCGAGAGAGAAGTCTACAGACCCTGAGATTCCTTTGACTAAGCTGGCCTTTCTACTAGATCATACTTTCTCTTACCCAGCTTCAGCAGTTACTCTCTTAAGAAACTAGGATAAATACTGACCAAATATTTTGGGGAAAATCTTCATCTAAAATTTTAAAGAAAAGTCACTTAAGTAAGCTCTCTAGGGTTGGTTTTAACACTTGATATCCTTTATATCTAAGGAATCCCCATAAATAGGCTTCAGAGGGGTTTGCCAACTCCACAATGCTATATGCTAAATTCTGAACGTAAGAGTATTCTGGGAAGAAGATCCACAACTTAAATAAGATTCGCAGAGGTTCAGATACCCAAAAAGAGTAAACTATTTTTAGACGAGTGATTCTTAAACACTGCATTAGAACTACCCAAAGTGTTCCTTCTGAAGACTGATTATTAATTGACTACCATTGGGATATTGATTTTAAAAAAGAAAAGCAAGTAATTCATCTCTGTAATTTAATAAATATTAGTTAGCTGCAAAAATATTTACATATAACTTGTACTTTTTACACTATCCATATGCAAAATGTGTATAAGTCTGAAAAGCAAGTTTGACTTCCTCAGGTTAGGTTGATTGTAAAGTCCACTTAATTTCTCACATACATTTGACACTTGCAACTAAAGTAGTTCAAAATTTTAGACTTATTTGCTTAAATTTTTAAAATAGATTTTTTTCCTGAAAAATATATTCATCACACATGAATTGGAGTAATTATTTTTACTTTTACAGATGAATACTATCTTGTTAACATAACTTCACATGATTTTTTGCAAACTAAAGATTGTTCCACCTCCTCTCTGGAACTTCACAGGTATTGAAGCTGCTTTAATTACATCCAATAAAGAAATGAATCATTCAGATTTCTGATATGGTTGTAAAATTTTTAAATATCATCAATAAATCTAAGGTGATTAATAACTACTTTGTAAATATCTTTTGTAAAACATCTAAAACCTTCGTGTATGAAGAATATACATAAACCAAAAACAAACTTTGCAGAGGAAAATTTCAGCACTAGATTATGTCTTAAATTAGGCTAAAATCCACCCCATTACAAATTTTGAACGGTTAAGTTTATAGTCTGTGCTCAATCATAAATTTTGATAAGGGACTAGAATAGCACACATAATTGTCATTCAAAGACACTTTAAAATGTCACCTTACACAGAAGATTCAATCTCTTCTCTTCTACTACACCAAGCTGATACACTAAATTCATATACAGTAAGTTTTACTGCTTTTTATCTGTCTTTTCTAACTTCTAACCGAGAGTATAAGTTTGAAATAAATTAAATGCAAATAAATGCTCAGATGAAGAAGCAGAATCCTGCTAAAGGAGATTTAGTCCTTTAGGTGCGGCCCAATATCATAATTATCCTTCTTGCCCCGAGCCCTCTTAATCTCACCCTCTCAAGGGCATCCCTCTCCCCTCTCTTTCCTGAAGCATCAAACTTTCCTTCACTACTGGATCATTTTGCTTCTTTTATCTAAAAAAAATAGCCTTCCATAACTCCATATTCTTCTGTAGTTACTGTCTTCTGTAGTTATTATCTGCACTGCCACTTGTAGCAAAACTCCCTCAAAGAGTTGCCCAAAGTCACTGTCCCCAGTTCCTCTCCTTTCATTCCCTATGGAACCCACTCCATTAGGACTTTTGCCTCCTTCAGTCTTGTTTAGAACAGTGACCTCTCTGTTGCTAAATCCAACAGTTAAGTCTCAGCCCTCATTTCCCTGTTCATACAGTATTGTCTGACCCAGCTGATCATCCCTTCCTTCATGAAATCCTTTCTTCCCTTGACTTCCAGGACACCAGTCACATTTGATTTTCTTCCTAATCTCTCTAGGCACTCTTCTGGGTTTCTTCTGCTAGTTCTTTCTCATCTCTCAAGATCTCAAATATTGAACTCCCCCAAAGCTCAGTTCTTGGAACTCTTCCCATTAGGTAAACTCATCCAGGCTCATAGCTATAAAAGGATCTGTACACTGGTGACTCCAAAATTTATCTCTCTGCCCAGACCTGTCCCTTGATTTCCAAATCTACCTATCAAATTGCCCGTCCGACACCTGTCAAATTGGCTTCTCAAGCTCAACAAATCTAAAACTAAACTCTTGACTACCTAACCCCCAACTTCCTCCCCAGAGTTATCCTCATTTCAATAAACAGAAACTCCATCCTTTCAGGACAAAATCTTAAAGTCATCACTGACTCCTCTTTCCTACATCCTACATCCAGTCCAATAACTGACCTTCTTGCCTCTGCCTTCAAAATACATGGGACTGTGACCACTTGTCTCAACTCTACTACTACCTCGTTGGTCCAAGTCACCATCATCTTTCACCTACATTATTGCAGTAGCCTCCTAATTGGCTGGCCTCCCCACTTCCATCTTTGTCCTCCAAAGTTTATTCTCTCAGTAGCCTTTTTAAAAGACAGATCTAGTTACTCCTCTGCTCAAAATCCTCCAGTGGCTTCTCATCACGCTCAGAGAAAACGCTGAAGTCCTCTACAATGGCCAAAGACTCTAGTGATTCAGGCCTCTGTTATTCTTAGACCTTGTCTTCTTCCCTCTCCCCATTCCTCAATCTA